CTCAAAGCTCTAGCTTTCTCAACCAAACTGAAGCTTTGTCACTGTCATGCCCTTGTAACCAAAGTAGAGTTACAAAGTATAGCCATACGCTCAGTGTATAATGGAATGATAACACCGAGACATAGCGGTGTTGCATTTCTGTTGTAGTGGGAGGTACCATCTTAATGTGTGGAGCAGAGGCCGATCCACATTAAATCAATAAAAATTCAATAATAGACTAATATATGTTATTCAATATGCAATCCATATTAATGTTCCTATAATAATGTAGTATTGTAATAATTTAATAATATATAAATATGATAATATAATAATGTAATAATATAATATCGTAAAAATACAATAATACTCTAATATACCTATGTTATTCAATATATATTAAGCACTGCTTTTGATTAAGACCTTTCACAGATAAGTTTTTTTTTTATTGCGATCTGTCAATTCGGAATAGACAATATTTTAATGATATTTAAAAGTGACTAAATACTTAAAATTTTTGTGAGCTTGAAGGGACTGTGCTCAGTAGTACATCCGTCTGTTGGAGTCGGACACATTAAAGTTCCAGTGGCGTTTGTTTGCGGAGGCGTGTGAACGTTCTTCCTTCTGCTATCATTCTGCTCATAAAGTGGTTGGGTTGATGTAACATACGTTTTTTGTGTTTACTGGCTTGACTTTTTATAACATCCTTAACTACAGGAATGTTGAGATCGCGATGTATATATTCATTTGTTATATATCTAGGAGCATTTAAGATTATTCTAAGGGTTTTTGATTGAAAACGTTGGATAATCTCAATATATGAAGATGCAGCAGTTCCCCAGAGTTCAATGCCATATGTCCAGATTGGTTTGAGTATAGCTTTGTAGATAAGCAATTTATTTTAGACTGAGAGCTTTGAACTTTTGTTCACTATCCAATCCAGCAGTCTGATGCCAAGTGCTTTTCTTTTGTTTAAAAATATGATGCTTCGAAGTTAGTTTCGTGTCAAAGTGTATTCCTAAATATTTCGATTTGGTAGATTGAGGGATTAACACATCGTTAAGGCGCACCGGTGGGCAATTTTTTCCTTCTCAGTGTAAAGTTTGTTTGTGAAGACTAAGACTCATTTGCTTTTATTCTACAGGTTTTAAGCCACTGGGAAATGTCATCTAGGGCTGCTGAAGTTTGTTGGTTGCTAACTGGTGATTGTCGCCTGTAGCAATTACAGATAAGTAATCACAGATAGAAAACTCAATTAATTAATTATAATTAAATTACTTACCAGTAAGTAATGTTCATTTTTTGTTAAACAGTTGTTTGAATTAATATAATTATTGTAAATAAAGCAAATTAATTTAAATGTATAGTAATATATATACATATTATATATACATATTAGTGCACAATTTTAGTGTATACTATGTATCTCATATCCAAAATGTGAACAGTTTTGTGTATTTATCAAGTTTCAATAATAAATTTGATATTCAATTACTGTCAATCAAAGTAAAATTGACGCTCGGCGAACTATAAATGTACATTTCATATCAAAAACCAAATGCAAATTGATATGCACATTCCTGTCAGATACTTTTTTTATGTAAATACGTAAATACGAGACTGCATGATGATCTGCTTTGTCAGAAGTTATACATATCACGTATATAGCACACATTAACAAGCTGAATATTTCAAATATCTGATGGCAAATCGGCGATTTGAGTTTATTTAAACATAACGTTTCAACGCGCCACTGCAGAGTTCTCCTGCCATATCTACGAATATTTTGACAAATCTGTACTTTTAGTTTAAAAACTGCATTGAACTGAAATAAAAAAAGTGAAAAAATATATGCAGATATATATTTTACAAAAAAAAAACAAAAAAAAAGGAATGTTTGAATGACAAACAAATCATAAACAACGCATTTTTTAATATGAAAGTCTCACACGATGTTTGTTTGTTTTGTATGAATATGTTTATATATCGGAGGAATGTATCATGTATGCTTACTACTGACATAAAGAGACAAAAACCCCAAAAAAAAGGAATAATAATCAAACAAACAAATGGTCAGTTGAGCAGATAAACCAACATTATGAACTTACTTCAGCTGTCCAACATTAAAAATTGCATTAAAAATCCTTATTCCACACATTACTATTTGCTGCTATTTTGCTACAGCACGTGCTGCACTTACCGGATGCAGTTCATCACGTTGCCTACACATATGTCACAGTGACAGTGCACTTGGCAGTATATGTCCTTGCCACAAAAGAAACAGTGACAGTTCATGTCATATATAACCACACATGCAAATGTACAAAATGTATCTATGAAGTTACATAGATACTTTTGTATGTGTATATGTTGTGTATACTCACTGTGCTAGCATATATCCTTTATAGTTTTTTTTCCTTTTTTTTTTTTTGTTTTTTTTTTGTTTTTTTTTTTGACATATAGTACACATTTTATTTTTGCACATTTATGCACAAATCTGTTGCTGTTTTTGCGCAATGTTGATAAGCTCAAAAGCTTAATTGGATTTTATTTCATTTGCGCATATTTATGTGTGATTTAAAATTTCTTATTTTTTCAGTTGAAATGTATTTATTTTTAAATATACACACTTACATACAAATGATTTTATTATAATTTTAAATGAGCTGTGCATGTGCATGGCAACTGTGAAGTTAAAAACAATCATACAAAATTCAGCAGAATTCATGCAAATATTGACTTCACATATAGGTAGGCATAATTTTATATACAATATCTTTATATTTATTTATGTTTTTTTTCCTTTTTTTCATTTCGATTCATTCATTTATTTTGTTGGACATTTTCGTTTAATTAGAGCAAGGAGATTTTTTTCAGTGTAGCGCAAACTACAGCAGCTTACCGCCACGCATTGGCTACCGCAGAAAGTCAGAGCTCAAAATAATTATTGTAATGAAGTTTGTGATATCCATCAAGCATTGGTAATGAGCATAAACGCATCTGACTGCTCCTGCTCATTACGGCTTACTTCATATCGCATAACAATGGCTGCCTTTATCTTACGTATAAAATAACAGAAATGAGAAGTTATTTTTAAAATGTGTCCTTACACAATGAAAGCAAAGTGTCAGGAATCAATCAGAAGAAACTGTTGGTAAAGGTACATCACTGAATATTTAATTAAAGAACTTATTTCCATATTGAGTAACTCATTTGGCAAAGATTGCAATCATTGTAAAAATATTAAAAATGGTCAATGAACCTGTAAAAAGTGTTGGTGTAGAGACTTGACGACTTGAGCCTGCACATAAGTCAAGAATAAAGTACTAGGTGGCATAAAATACCCGGCCTAAGTAATAAAACCGGATTTTTTGGAAAATAATATTTTATGCTTTAATGTAGTTCCCTTTTAGCACACCACATCAAGTCCAACGATCTTTCAACATTTGAATACCTTTTACAATTTTATTTTTATTTATTGAATCGCTTTAAATTAAAGCCTAACAATAAGTTTTAGAATCTTAAAAACTATTAACATTACATTACAAATTATTTTATATAAACATACTATAATGAAATATATAATGATTCCTAAACTATTTCAAGAGGCCAGGGCTTATTTACCATATATCACGGCGTATAAGTTAAATTAATCAGGGTGAATTTAAGTAAAACAGAATGGTGGATCTATCATTCCGTTTTAGTCTGGAGAAATTTATTATATTAGTAAGAGGTCTAGCCAGCGGATTTATATGGTCTTCAAGATTTGATATATGTTATTTTATCGAACTCGACTTTAACTATCGGAACGCTCAAATTGAAAAGTAATCTTTTAAATAATACAATTTATCAAGTCCTACAAAATATATCTCAGTTTTCCATTCCACTTCATAATGCAAATTTCTTTCCTTGGAGCCATCTTATCAAGTTTGAAAACAGGAAATAATCACTGGGACCAAAGTCTGGAGAATGCGGTGGGTGAGGAAGCAATTTGTATCGTAATTCATTTCATTTCACAATAATTTTCATTGACATGTAACACCCCCGTATCTTGCAAAAACAAAAATTTTTTTCGACAAATATGATCGTTTATGCTTAATCTTCCGATTGAAGGAGGAAATAATCTTTTCTCCTTTCTCCAAATAATCTATGAGAATTATTCCATTTCCAGGAAGTGATTTAAATAAAGGAGATTAAGAATGGATCACTTGGGTCACTGAACAAAGAGAAAAATACCATTACAAAGAATATATTAAATAACCCATGGCATAAGGAGATCCGATCTAAATTAGAGTAACATTAGAAAAAATAAGATGAAGCAAGATTTTTTGCACTTTATTTGATGAGAAGTAAAAAGACTTTGTGAAGATACAAAGTACCTTCTAATAGTTGAACTATTTTCAATTCAGTTATTTACATCAAATGCCTTTCAAATTCTATACTTCTGGTACTCCAACTATATCAATGAACTACAAAAAAATGATAATTAATATATGATCTCGAATGGAGATAGCTTGGTAAGGAACAAAAAAGAAACACTGGCATTGGGCACAGTTTAGCAATATTTAACCTGGGCTATAAATTTAGAGTTAAAAACATTATGTAAAAAAATGTGCATATCGATGGACCTTTAAAAGTGTGTTCCGAATGCAAGCTATAGAAACTGCTTTTCTATAAGAATTATATATATTTTTTCAAGCTATAAACTTGTATAATAACTTCCGTCACCACTCATGTAACTAAAAACTAGTTTTAAGAAGACTGTTTTGTTAAATTAATTGTTGAAGGAAATTATTTAGAAACGTGATGTTTTTAATATCATTATTGCATCACTATTTCCATAGAAAGCTTTAATTGACAAAGCCAACTTTAAATCGGAAAACTGAAGACGTAACTAAAAAAACAACCATTTTTGCTAAAATTGCCCACTCTGAGTTAATTGCCTTCTGGTTTTAGTTATCAGTAAATAAATGATCAATTCTTATAATTGAGTTTCGCTGTACAGAAACAGTATAAAAGCCCTTCCAAAAGTTGTAAGAGTTCAGTACTAAGGTAGTCACCTATCAAGTCACATCTTGAAATTAATATTTTGAAGACGAACACTTGAAACCTAAACAATGGCTAAAATGGTATGTGAAAAATCGGTTTGCTATCCAAATTTCTTTATTAAATAAAATAATTTTAGGTGAAACTTTTATTCCTTCTCGTAAGCGCAATTCTTGTGTTGAGTTGCGTATCTGCAAGGAGAGTGAATTACGAATCGAAAGGAGTTCACTCACCTGGTAGGGTGCACAATAGAATGGCACGAGGCGCAGGAGCAGTTGAGCATCTAGGTAGTAATGGAAACGGCAGGGCAAATATTGAGTTTTTGGGTGCTGTCAAAAGTAATCCATTAGAACTACTAGGCCGTAATGCGGCTGTTGAAATGTTAGCTGACGATGAAGATGAGGATGAAGATGAGGATGAAGATGAGGATGAAAAGAAATAAATAATTGATTAAAACACTTGCGGACCAATTTCAAAGGCTCTAGTAATTTTATATTTGTTCCATAAATAAGCAATTTGTATCTTCTAAATATTAAAAATAAATATAGCAATGTAATTTCATGAATGATACATTTTTATGTCTTTCTTTAATATTTTTCATAAAGAAAAGTTGACATTTTCATGCTTGAGTGAAAATTTATTTTGCTACCCGATAGCGTTTGCGGCTGATTAACATTTGAAAGTCACTTAGTCGTTCTTATAAGACGAACACCTTTTGTTGCAACTGATCTATAAGGAATTGAATTCATAAGAATAGAAAGAGTTCCTTTGCCTGGACCACAAAATGGCTCTGGGCCTATCATCCTTGAGACTGCGCCTCTTCTTACAAGTTTGTATGCCATTTCATTGCCTTAAATACCAGCATGTCCCAGAATCTATATTAGGTGCACCTAATTGTTCCAACGAAGTACGTTCAGTTTGTCAATGCACTTTCATACCAGTTCAGATGATACCTGGTAGAATATGAGTGCCATTATAGCTGCCAGGTTGTCAGTCAGCATTGGGATTTTACGATTCCAGTAGTTACGTTCAAGGTTGAAATTGACGCATCTACCTATCGCGTATATTTCTGCTTGAAATTTAGTTGCATTATTTCCCAGTGCTTCCTTTTGCTTGGTCCATGAATACCAGCCCTGCTTCCTCTTTGGTGAAGGAGCCGTCTGTATACCATGTTATCATGTTTTCTTTTATTATTTGGGGTTTGGACAAGCCTTCTGAATTCTTTTTATTGCTAAGTTCAGTTTTGAAGTTTTTTGTAAAGTTATACTTTACAATCATCCTGTCCGTTTACATTTCAGTTTTTGGGATTTGTGCGTGAAGCCTTCTTTGAGATAGCGTAAGTACCATTTGGTACCCGCACCCCTCAAGCCAGTAGATTTCCTGGTGTCGTGAAAGCTTTGGCCGGAGGTTAGTCCAGTGCTTGTCAAGGGCTGTGGTAATGGTGTTTCGACGGTTACCTCTTTCGGTGCAATCTTCAAGCCCACAGTTCCTTGACTTCCTTTTCGTAACTGATATTCAGTTTTAAATTCTGTTAGCAAACATCTAGTTTTGTTCCAAGCTTCATTGCTCTCAGTGCATTTTTATGCTTACCGTTTTGGAAAGACTTCCTGGCGATCGGTATGTAGGATATTAGAATCCAACCGATTTGCCAGTTGAGTTGCAGTATATGGTCCTGCTAGTTTTTTTATATTTTTCAAATTCTGTTATATGAAGGTCCCACGAGTGAGGGGGAAAAGCGTTCCTCCGTGTCATAGCCCCCGATAAAACGGTAAGCCCACAGTTACTCACTGAAGCGGACAGGTATCAGTGAGGTGCGAAGGTAAAATACAGCCTGTTGTTCTCGACTGCAAACAAGTCCATGCGTAATTACGGATTGGGGGGAGATGAAAGTGGGAAAGGATATAGTTAGAATATTGGAGTGATTATAGGTAGGAATATTTAGGGATAGGAGAGGTGCAGGTTTGGCTCGCATTAGGCCCTCCTTTCGAAGGGAGTGAGTACTTGGGATTAGTCTCTCTTGCGAGTCCGTCTAGTGAAATACTAGGATCTCCTATATTCCACTTAATGGTAATGAAATTATCAACCAATGAACATATTCCGATGCTTCTCATTTTTTACAATGAATGATTCTTTTCCTCATGTTTCCTTTGAAGCAGTATATATACTACATATTTCACTTAATAGTAATGAAATCATCAACCAATGAACATATTCCGATGCTTCTCATTTTTCACAGTGAATGATTCTTTTCCTGATGATTCCTTGGAAGCAGTACATATACTACATATTCCATTTAATAGTAATGAAAATATTAACCAATGAATATGTTCCGCTGCTTATCATTCTTCATAATGTATGATTCTTCAGAATTATCAATCATCCGAATATATTCATCATCATTGGAATACGTACCAGTATTAGAAAACAGTTGGAATTTAAAAATGTCAATATTGAATAAAAAGAAAATGTTACTATCAATAAAATCTTTTCAGGAAATATTCAATATTAATTTAAAAAATGCTGTTTACAGATTTATCAGATATTTTTATTCATTGCCAGAGATTAAGGTAATGTGTTTCTTTATGACTACTTATCAATTCCAGTTATGAGTTTACATTAAATTTTCTTATAACTGTGATTGAATATTAGAAGTTAATTAACATCTGTTTTTAGTTATCAGTAAATTTTACTTTTATCTGAATTTTACAATTCTCGATCAGTATAAAAGCCCTTCCAACAGTTGTAAGAGTTCAGTACTAAGGTAGTCACCTATCAAGTCCCATCTTGAAATTAATATTTGAAAGAAGAAAACTTGAAACCGAAACAATGGCTAAAATGGTATGTGAAAAATCGGTTTGCTATCCAAATTTTTTTATTAAATAAAATAATTTTAGGTGAAACTTTTATTCCTTCTCGTAAGCGCAATTCTTGTGTTGAGTTGCGTATCTGCCAGGAGAGCGAGTTACGAATCGAAAGGAGTTCACTCACCTGGTAGGGTGCACAATAGAATGGCACGACGCGCAGGAGAAATTGATCACCTAGCTAGTAATGTAAACGGCAAGGCAAATATTGAGCTTTTGGGTGCTGTCAAAAGTAGTCCATTAGAACTACTAGGCCGTAACGCGGCTGTTGAAATGTTAGCTGATGATGAAGATGAGGATGAGGATGAGGATGACGAAGATGAGGATAAAAAGAAATAAATAATTGATTAGAACACTTGCGGACCAATTTCAAAGGCTCTAGTAATTTTATATTTGTTCCATAAATAAGCAATTTGTATCTTCTAAATATTAAAAATAAATATAGCAATATAATTTCATGAATGATACATTTTTATGTTTTATATTTCCTTCTTAAATATTTTTTTAAATATGCATTTCTGCATTATTGAGAATGATCTTTTCTGTACAACGTGTATTTGAAACTATTAGTAATGTTGTTAATAACTTTTTAAAAGTTTTGCTTGAATTAGATATAATCATAACACGAGAGAGTGGTTATTAAGATGAAGGTGGCAAAAATTGAATCCTGAAGTTTTTTCTGGATTTCTGTGTCGGTTTTGGAAGTTCTGCCTAACATTTATAAACTGTTGTGAATTTTATGCAGTGTTTCACTGCAGAAAATACGTCAATTCATCAAATAAAAAAATGCTTTCATTGCAGACTTGGCAATTTTTATTAACTCCTATCGTACTGAAATCACCAAGCCTTGTTAATAACATATTTCTGCGCAATACTTTTAGATATTTATTTCGTTTATCACAAACCAGAAATTTGTCAAGTGTTTTTCGTGTGTAAACTCGTTCGTGTGAAACGAAATGCAGTCACCATAATAAAGAAGAAAATGGTTGCCACAGACGTTTATTACGCTACCCGATAACGTTTGATCTACAAGGAAATAAATTTTTGAGCGCTGGTTTGTCAAAAAAGGATATCTAAGGGACGATACTAACTGAGTAACTTTTGGGCAAAAATAAAACCATCCAAAAGTTTCGTTAGAAATTTGTGGACTTGACAGATCATCCGAATTTATTCTTGGTTATCGTTGAAACTGGAACCACAGTAGCAAAAGAATCGAAATTTAACAATGTCAATATCGAATAAAGCGAAAATATTACCATTAACAAAATTTTTTTATGAAATATTTAATATTCATTTTTAAAATTATATATACAGATTTATGAGATTATAAGCTTACATTAAATTTTCTTATAACTGAAATCAAGCATAAGAAGTTAATTAACATCTGTTTTTAGTTATCAGTAAATTTTACTTTTAGTTGAATTTCACTATCTACGATCACTATAAAATCCACTCTAGAAATACGAATAGTTCAGTACTAAGTTGATTCCCTATCGAGCCCTATCTTGAAATCAATATTTTGAAGACAAAATTGTGAAACTGAGCAGTGGCAAAAATGGTATGTTAAAAATCGATTTGATGTTCTATTTTATTTTATTGAATAAAATATTTTAGGTGAATCTTTTATTGCTTCTTCTGAGCGCAGTTTTTGTGTTGCGTATTTGCAAGGAGAATCATTTACGAATCGAAAGGAGATCACTCGCCTGGCAGGGTATCGAATATAATGGCAATAGGCGCAGAAGCAGTTGAGCACCTAGGTAGCAATGGAAACATTGAGTTTTTGGGTGCTGTTAAAAGTAGTCCAGTGGAACTAGCAAGTCGTAACGCGTCTGTTAAAATGCTATCTGATGATGGTGATGATGATAAGAAATAGGTATAGATAATATCACTTTCCAACCAATTTTAAAAGTTCTTGTAGTTTGGTGAAGTTTTTGAAAATTTGTGAATAATTATTATCTTTTGAATTATAATCAGACATTGTTTTGACTACATCTTTCTTAGTTCTTTACTGATGTTGCGTTTTTGATTTATGAAGCATTCTTTCGTGTAAACTGCGTCAATGTTTTTTTAATATTGTTGTGTTAAGGTTCTGATCTACGTAGTATATTGTAGATAAGATCAATATATTTTTATCATAACACTTTTAAAGCGCCATTTAAAATGATTCTCTCTTGGACTTGGTGGTCTTTAACTTATAACAATAGAGATTTGGACTTTGTAGTTGATTATGTTAAATGTCTGTAGAACACTTTTCTTTTAAGAAAATACTTTTGCGCAGACTTAAGGGATTGAGTCTCAATTCTTACTTAGTTTCTTTTTCCAATTCCAATTTAATGGACTTGCTAGATCATATTTGCATCACGCATCTTAATAATATTTTTACTTCATTCCGTTTAATATTCAGAAAATATTGCTTTTTACTTTCAGTTTCGGCTAGATTTCCTTCTTCAGTTGCAGAGTATGTAATCGCTTTGATAGAGGTATTATTTGCTCGTATTTCTTTATAAAGAAATTTTTCTTAAATTATGTAAATATCTAACCTGAATCGCAGGTAAGTTTATTTATAAAGTATAATTCATCTGTTGCTGTAAGTTCTCACCTTGAAACATCAGATTTGTCAATTGTACAAATATCTTTAAAGAACGAAATCAAAGTTGCAAAGTTGTTAATTTCCAATTCGATCTCATTTTTACCTTCTTTAAATACTCATTTTTGTAATAAATTTTACAGATATCAGATATTTTTATTCATTCTTAGACTTCGAGTTCTTCTGTTACTTATGTCTACGAAACTAAGGAGTTAATTGACATCTGTTTTCAGTCATCAGTAAATTTCACTTCCTCTGATTGAATCAAACTATCTAAACACAGTATAAAAGCCCTTCTAGAAGTTGTAGCAGTTCAGTACTAAAGCAGTAATCTATCAAGTCCTATCTTGAAATCGATATTTTGAAGACAAAAACTTGAAACCAAAACAATGGCTAAAATGGTATGTGAAAAATCGGTTTGATGTCCAATTTTCTTAATTAAAGGCAAAAATTTTAGATGAAACTTTTATTCCATTTTGTAAGCGCATTTCTTGTATTAAATTGTGTGTCTGCAAGGAGAATCAGTTACGAATCGAAAGGAGTTCACTCATTTGCCAGGTCACATAATAGAATGGCTCGAGGTGCAGGAGAAATTGAGCTCCTAGGTAGTAATGGAAACGGCAGGGCAAATATTGAGTTTTTGGGTGCTGTCAAAAGTAGTCCCGAAGAATTACTTAGCCGAAACGCGGCAATTGAAATGTTAGCTGATGATGACGAGTATGTTGATAATGAAGAATATATTGTTTATGCTGAGTATGGTGGTGATGAGGATGATGTTGGTGGTGAGTATGGTGGTGATGATTAGTAGGTGGTGATGATTATGTAGGTGGTGATTTTAGTTATGAAATTAAATGAGTAATTGATAATAACACTTGCGAAAGGTACTAGTAATTTTATAATTGTCCAATAAATGAGAAGTTTGTACCTTCTAAATGTTAAAAATGAATATAGTGATATAATTCCTTGAATGATACATTTTTGTTTTATATTTCTTTTACATTTTTCATAAAGAAATTTTTGACTTTTTGACGTTTATATTCTCCATTGATGATTGGCTATTTTATTAAGAATAATCCGTACTGCGAAGTCAGTATGGTGATGAAGGTGATTGTGATGGTGGTTTTTATGATGAAGTTGAAACGAAATAAGTTATTGAGTATAACACTTTTGAACCAATTTCAAAAGCTCTACGACTTTTACATATGACGAATAAATAAGCAATATGTATCTTTTATATATTAAGAACAAACATAGAATTATAATTTCTTGAATAATACATTTTTTTATTTTTAAATTTTTCTTTTTTTATTCTTCATAAAGAAAGGTTGATATTTTGAAAGGCTTTTATTCTTCAAGGATACATTTCTGTATTATTAAGAATGCTCTATACTGTACAACTAATATTTTTAAAAGTTTTGCTTGAATTAGATATAATCATAACACGAGAGAGTGGTTATTCAAGGTGACAAAAATTGAATCCTGAAGATTTTTCTGGATTTCTGTGTCGGTTCTGGAAATTGTAACTAACATTTATAATGTGTTGTTAATTTTATGCAAATAAAATTATGTGTCACTGGCAACTGGTCTATAAGGAAGTAAATTTTTGACCGCAGTTTTGTCAAAAAGGGTGCTAACAAACAAAATTAACTGAGTAACTTATGGAAGAAACTGAAACCATCTAAAAGTTTAATTTAAAATTTAAGGGATCTAAGTGTGTATACTACATATTCCAACTAATAGTAATGAAAATATTAACCAATGAATATATTCTACTGCTTGTCATTCTTCACAATGTATGGTTCGTCAGAATTATCAATCATCTGAATATCATCATCGTCGTTGGAATACGTACTAGAGTTACAAAAGAGTTAGAATTTAACAATATCAATATCGAATAGAGTGAAAACGTTACTATCAACCAAATCTTTTCAGAAAATATTCAATATTTATTTTTAAAATGATTTTTAGAGAATTATCAGATATATTTGTTCATGCCAGTTATGAGCTTACATTTTCTTATTATTGAAATCAAGCATAAGAAATTAACATCTGTTTTTAGTTTTCAGTAAATTTTACTTTTCGTTGAATTTTACTATATACGATCCATATAAAATCCCTTCTATAAGAAATAACAGTTCAGTACTGAGGTAGTCACCTATCAAGTCATATCATGAAATCGAAATTTTGAAGACAAAATCGTGAAATTGAACAATGGCTAAAATGGTATGTAAAAAATCCGTTTGAGATCCAATTTTCGGTATTGTATAAAAAAATTTTAGGTGAAATTTTTAATCCGTCTCGTAAGCGCAATTCTTGTGTTGAATTGCGTATCTGCAAGGAGAATCAGTTACGAATCGAAAGGAGTTCACTCATCTGGCAGGTCACATAATAGAATGGCGCGAGGCGCTGGAGCAGTTGAGCACCTAGGTAGTAATGGAAACGGCAATGAAAATATTGAGATTTTGAGTGCTATTAGAAGTAGTCCGGAAAAACTAATAAGTCGAAACGCGGCTATTGAAATGTTAGCTGGTCATGAGGATGGTTATTATGGTGGTGGTTATGGTGGCGGTTATGGTGGTGATTATGGTCGTGATGATGGTGGCTCTTATGGTGAAGATTATGGTGGTAATAATAGTGTTGATTATGGTGGTGAATACGGTGGTGAATATGCTGGTGAAATTGGTGGTGAATTTGGTGGTGAATTTGGTGGTGAATATGGTGGTGAATACGGCTGAGTGAATATGTGGTGAAACGGTGGGAATAGGTGGTGAATATGCTGGTGAATTTGGTGGTGAATATGGTGGTGAATATGGTGGTGAATATGGTGGTGAATATGGTGGTGAATATGGTGGTGAATATGGTGGTGAATATGGTGGTGAATTTGGTGGTGAATATGCTGGTGAAGGTGCTTACGGTGATGTTCTTGGTGGTCATTGTGGTGGTGAAGGTAGTTTTACTGGTGCAGGTGATTATACTGGTGAAGATGATTATACTGGTGAAGGTGATTATATTGGCGAAGGTGATTATACTGGTGAAGGTGGTTATACTGGTGAAGGTGGTTATGCTGGTGAAGGTGGTTATACGGGTGAAGGTGGTTATACTGGTCAAGGTGATTATATTGGCGAAGGTGATTATATTGGTGAAGGTGGTTATGCTGGTGAAGGTGGTTATGCTGGTGAAGGTGGTTATACTGGTGAAGGTGGTTATACTGGTCAAGGTGATTATACTGGTGAAGGTATTTATACTGGTGAAGGTAATTCTGTTGGCGGTGATTATCAGTGGAATAAATAATTCATAAAAACGCTTGTAAACCAATTTCAATGGCTCTAGTAATTTAATAAATATCAAATGAATAAGCGATTTGTATTTTCTTAATATTAAAAATAAATATAGCAATATATATTCTTGAATTATGCAGTTCTATGTTTTATATTTCCTTCTTTAATACTGCTCATAAAGAAAAGTTCACATTTTGAGGCTTGTATTTTTTCTGTATTATTCAGAATACTCTTCATTGTAAAACTTGCAGTTGAAGCTATTATTAATGTTGCTAATAACTTTTCAAAAGTTTCGCTTTAATTAGATATAAACATCACAAAAGAAATTGATATTTGCAATTAAAGTGGCATCAATTGAATCCAGAAGATTTTTCCAAATTTGAAAGTTGTGAATAACACTTACAGTCCAGTGTTAACTTTATGCGAGTTTTCACTGCAGGAAATATGTCAATTCTTCAAGCAAGAAAGCACTTCCCAGCAATTTTTGCATTTATCATTAACTCCTATCGTACTGAATCCACCAAACCTTTTTATAAACATTTTTCTCCGCAATATTTTTAGATATTTATTTCGTTTATCACAAACCAGAAATTTGTCAACTGTTTTTCGTGTGTAAACTCGTTTGTGTGAAATGAAATACAGTCACCATAATAAAGAAGAAAATGATTGCGATTGGTTTACGTTTGTGAGTCATTTAGAGGGTCTTATAATAAAGAAGAAAATGATTGCGATTGATTTACGTTTGTGAATCATTTAGAGGTTCTAATGAGACGAACTCGATTTGTGACAATTGATCTATAAGGAAATTAATTTTTGATCGCTAGTTTATCAAAAAGGGATATCTAAGAAACGATACTAACTGACTAACTTATGAGCAAAAATGAAACCATCCAAAAGATTCCTTAAAAATTTGAGGACCTGACAGATCATCCGAATTTATTCATGGTTATCGTTGAAAGTCGAACCGCAGTTACAAAAGAATCGGAATTTAAGAATATCAATATCGTATAAAGCGAAAATATTTCTACCAACAAAATTTTTTCATGAAATACTCAGTACACAATTTTTAAAATAATATATACTGATATATCAGATTATAAGCTTACATACTTTTTCTTATAACAGAAATCAAGCATAAGAAGTTAATGAACATCTGTTTTTAGTTATTCAGTAAATTTTACTTTTAGTTGAATTTCATTATCTACGATCAGTATAAAATCCCCTCTAGATGCAATAATAGTTCAATACTGAGGTAGTCACCTATCAGGTGCCATCATGAAATTGAAATTTTGAAGACAAAAACTTGAAATCAGAACAATGGTTAAAATGGTATGTGAAAAATCGGTTTGATGTCCAATTTTCTTTACTAAAGACAAAACTTTTAGATGAAAATCGCGTATCTGCAAGGAGAATCAGTTACGAATTAAAAGGAGTTCACTCACCTGGCAGGATATACAATAGAATGGCTCGAGCTGCAGGAGTAGTTGAGCACTTAGCTAATAATGGAAACGGTAATGGAAACATTGAGTTTTTGGGTGCTGTCAAAAGTAGTCTAGTAGAACTACTAGGCCGTAGCGCACCTGTTGAAATGTTAAATGATGAATATTACTATGATGGTGGTTATAACTATGGTGACGATGATAAATTATAAATAATTGATTATAATACTTGCCAGGCAATTGTACATAATCCTCTGATATAATATATATGAACTATATGAATAATTTGTATTTTCGTAATGTTAATAGTAAATTAATAAATATTATTATATGTTTAGTGATTTTGTTTTTAATTTTGATTACTTGCTTATCTGATAATGACTTGTAATCATATTACTATTGCTCCGCTTTTTCTATTCTATTATTTTTTTCTGTTTTTTTTTGTGTCTATTCGTTATTTAAAGAATAGTATTAATAATTTTTTTATTTAGTTTTAGAATTTTATTAAAAATTTTTTTCAAATTTTTAAAATTAATTATTTCAATATCTGTTAAGTTTTCTTTTTATTATACATGTACTGTACTTTTGCATAACCTGCATTAAAGGTGATTGACTTGCATAGTTATATAGACTAGATGATCATTATATTATCTAATTTTGTCTACATAATTTAGTTGTGATAAGAACATATAATTCTGACGTTATTCATCATATTACTGCAGGCGTTAGTTTAGTTCACGAAGGCAAAGGATAATTATGCTCACGTTACTAAATTTTTTTTGTATTCTTTAAACTATTAACTAACATTAGCTAGCATTTAAATATTAGAAAACTAGTTAGTGTATACTAATTTAATTGATTAAATATTTTTTGAGAAAATGAATTATTTTTGTGAAATCTGGATGATGGTCGACTTTTTAGTAGCTGTCTAAGCAAATAGTTTGGATGTATTTCAGTTTCTTGTTCGCATATGAATATGAATTTAATTAGTTCATTCTTTATCAGTGATATTTATATATTCATGCATTTGCTCGCTTCTTATGTAGCTTAGTGCACATTAGATGAAGCTAAGGATTTTGTTTAAGAACGTTGGACTAAGGCAATGGCATATAAGCATAAGTTGCCCCGTAGTATAGTTATGCTCTGTAGATCATTGTATTATCTGTATGTTGAGAAGATTATAGTATAGAAATTTTAGTAATAATACCACCCATTTTCTGTTGAGTGTAGTTTGTCAAATTCTTGCCAACAAAATCATCAAGCAAATGCAATTAATATATAGCAATACGATCACAGCAACAACAGAGATACCCATGCGCAAGGAAATGTACGGAAAACATAAGAAAACCATTACAATAACAACAACAAAACCAACAAACAAACGAATAAATGTTATATTTTAAATATTTAAGTCTAGGAAGTAGCTGTTACATTATGATCACTAAATGATGATCATTTATCTTCGTTAAATCTAAATGAAAATAGATTAGTAATAATAGTTATATGCTCTCATTAAACTCAAAAAATCGGCAGGTTATCTCTATATATTTTATTATAATTATTTTATTACTATATTTAGTAGAGAGATTTCAAAAAGTAGTGAACTACAACAACAAAAATTCTGTTTATATTATTTTAAATAATTGAATTTTTAACTGACCATACAGCTGTTTAGAGCATTGGCAAATACCCATCATCAGTGGTCTTAGTATTATTTCTTATGTTATAATTATTTGCAAATAATTTTTTGAAACTGATTATCAAGTTTTGAACTCGTACCCTGCCAAATTTGAAGCTCAGAGTCAGTATTGATTAGTCAACTGACTCAAAGCTATACTGGACTTGTATCTTCGAACTTAGAGTTTTTGTTAATTTGCTGTGAAAGTTCATTAACAAATTCATTTGCTGTGTTATATATTAGAACGAAATAATAATCCACCTATGGTATTATTGAATTAATTAATTATATTTACTTTTATTTGCTAAATTTCAATTCTATAAATCTAAGTCTATAGAACCTAATCTAGGAATGAAATATGGAGAGATACTTCACTATTCGCACGTTTTATAACAACGATTTGACACAGCAAATCGCGTTAATAGACTCACATAAATTTATAATTATTTACTTAGGATTATCTAAGCTTAATTATCGTTATATATGTATTTATTATTTGATATAACTAAACCGATTTCTGTTATATTTAAAATATAAATCATCTTTCATTAGGATAGACTTATTTATTTAGAACAAAACGATCTCTTCTAATGAGTGGTTGTCTGGATTAGTAGGGTGATGGTACATAACTCGGGCGAGCCCATATATTTTTAATATAAGTTGTAATATAAAGTCAGTTTGTGACGGAAGAGACTACTTATTTAATAAATACTAATATATTTGGTAGAGAAATTTCGAAAAGTAGTGTTATACAACAACAAAAATTCTTTTTATATTATTTTAATTAATTGAATTTTTAATATATATTAATTTTAATTTAATTTTAATTTAATATAATTGATTGAATTTGTATAATTTATTATATTTAGTAATTAAAAAATTAGAAGACTTGAGTTTTAATTTGCAATTTGCTAAAAGAAAAAGCAAAGCTGTTTAAGTAAAACACATAATTTTTTTTTTTGAATGCTGTAAACAATTAAGTTTAATTATTTAATTAAGCATTTTTGTTATAATAATTATTATGAACAATTGTCGTAATAAAAATGTTAACGACCAAAACACTCATTTCTGAGTTACCTGTCACCCCGTCAACCCCGGCAATCATACTTTTATGCCGTAATTTAACAAACACGTAATTCTAATTCCTTTTTGAAATTAATGAGCTCGTTAAATTTCGTTTAGCAATTATATTTTAACAATTTTCATGGCAAAAAAAAAAAAATATATATATATGAAAAAAATAAAAAAATTTCATACCAAATTAAATTGAAGTGAAAAATACGCTGAGTGTGCAAGAAAGCGATTACAGATTTTTGTAGAAAGCAAGTCATAAAGCCTTTCAAAGTATCTACAGGAACACAAACACTAGAAACAACAGAAGCAATTCTCTTAAAATTGACTTATGCAAATCATAATTTAATACACACAAACAAGAAAAAAAAAAAAGAAAAAATCTAGAAAAAATATTGTAAAGAAACCGAAGAGTTCCACAGGTGCTCGCCGCTGCTATAATAAATATGACCACACGGTATTCTCTATCCTCTAGCACGTTTCAATAATAATAAAGTGCGCATTCAGCAAATTCATAGATTGTTATAAAAATAAAAATGTTAATACCAGAAAACGGAAACGGAAGCATAAAACCACAACAAATAAAAACGTAGGAAAAAAGTCCATAAAAATGGCGAGCAGGAACTTCACAAATTGCATTTGTGCTTTTACGTTTAACATTTTACAAAGTAAAGCAAATTTTGTGCCTTGTTGCCGCTCTTTAGAAGCGCTTCCTTTCATTTGCTTTGAAGCGCTTCCCTGAGATTCGGTTAGATTTGTAGAGAGCTTTGTGTGGGTTTCGGTGAGCCTTGTTGAGGTTCGTTTTTAACGCTACTTTCACTTTGCTGTTCAATAGCGAGTGAAACAATAAAATAAAATAGCAACGTATAATAATTTATGATACATCATTAAAGGCATAAATAGCTGCTCTTTATAATATTC